CCAAACAAGCTTTATATTATTCCACTTGCGTGAGTCGTTTTAGGCAGCCCCAGTGCATATGGATGGGTACCAAGGTCAAACATTCTTCATCAACTGCGGACAGTTCTTTCATATCTTTAGACTTTAATTTGTCTACTTGACAACCAATTTCAATAAATAATTATGATTACATGGGCCCTATGATAACCAATAATCATAAAAAATAACAGAAATAATCATAAATTGCTAACGGAAGAGACGACAAAGAGAAACGGCTATAGAGCTGGCGAGTTTTCAGAATTGTTCAGGTAAAGGGAATTTCATACAGGGAAGATTCGAACCCAGAAAATCTCGAATTTTAGGTAATAATTTTTATTCAATTCATATTGTTTGGTTTTTACTCATTTATCCACTTTTTGTTTTTTGTTTCCCCCCTTTTAAGTTCTGTATATGGATGAATTTTGCCTATTAGTATGTTTATGAGTATATGTGATCTGAATGGTATCTTTAATTTCGTTTTCGATTTTTTTTTGGCTTGAAAGAGTCTCCTCTCTATTATTATTACTGACTTATGATTTGTTTTGTATGGGTGTCTTTTGTTTACTAGGATCTGTTCATTCAAATGCTGGAAGTAATTTAATATGAAAACTCAAAGGGCGAAAATTTAACGAGTTTCTATTTTTCTGAGGATTTGGACGGAATTAGTTTATAACTTTGTGGATCTAGTTGAATAGATAGCTGCTTAAAGGTTGGAGATATTATGCATATGATCGAGTTGATACGAGACCACTTTATTGTCTAGTCACAAGTGTGTATTTTTACTTTTTTCACACCACCTATCAGTATGTTCTCAATTTCACTTAGTCATCATCGGTTGTGATGCTGAATTATGGGAATGATGAGTTGACGGTTTTGTGGTATTTATCGCGTAAACCAAAAGAATCTCGTGCTTAAGAGTATTATTTGTAGTAGCATAAGTTAGAAGATTGAGAGGTATACCAACATTATCCCATTGTGGTTGCAAGAATTAGATATTGCAGTAGATGTAAAAAGAAATGGAATGTACTGGTGTAACAGAACTCATGTACCCAACCTCAATTGGTGATAAGGTTTAGGTTGTTTAGTATCATTAATGTGCTAAATGTCTGTTACTTGTTCACTAGTGAAATGTGATCCATGAAATATGATAGTGACAAATTTGTTTTTCTATGCTATTGAGTGGGTTAGATGCTCTCATTCTTTGAAAGTCAATAGTATCTACTCTGTTTTGGCAACAAATTATGTACTTCTTGTAAATCCTTTTCGACTATGATGTGTGGTCGTGTGGATCACCATATCACGAACTTTTATGCAGGTTTCTTCACTGTTGTTCCAGGATTCAATTGTAGAACAAAATCAAAGAAATTATACTATAGCTTCTATTAGGTATTATTTCCTTTCTTTTATTCTGTTCTTCCTTCTTGGGAAAGAAAAAGTGTGACAGACCCCCATGCTCCTTTGGTGCATTAGACGAGCTAGACAGTGCAGGGATTAATTCAAAGTTGCAGTACATGGATGTCTCTTTATTCCAGTCAGGTAGTTTAAATAGGGGAAGGGGTAATTGGGGAATTTCAGTAACATCCAACTGAGCCCCAAATTGAATAAATAGGGGGGAGTTGGGTATTCTGAAGCCTTCAGAAAATTAGGGAATGGGTTTGGAGAGAGAGTCGGGCCTCTCTAATGCTTGACGGAACTTTGTAATTTCCTTTAAGTTTCCTTTGCTAATTCATTTCAGTTGAATTCAATTAATATACGTATAATACTGCTGCTGACATTTAATAATTGGGAATGGGTTGGGGAGCGAGTCGAGCCTTTCAAATGCTCAACCAAACTTTGTAATTCTTTTACAATTCCACTCCAGTTTACATTTAAGAAGTGTACATATAAATCTGTGGCTATGATTCTATCAAAGTTTGTGTAGCTCTTGATGATCAAGATTGTATACTCAATTTCTTTGTTGATTTGAATTATGAAACTACACTAAATTTTTCTCTATTTCTCACTTTAATTATAGAACGTTATCAAAATATGAGAATACGTAGAGAACAATTGTAATAAAATATCTNGCAATTAAAACATGGATAAAACAAGCGAGACAAAGTTCACAACATCAGATACTTTGTGTGCCTCTCTATTCATGAATAAACAGCATCCCCATGTAAGTGTTAATGAGTTACATGAAATAGTCTTATTAGGGCATTATTTATGTAAGTCCACGTCATTGAACCATTTTTCAAATCTTGATTGAGCAGTATCTTCAATGGCGTGTTCCTGTAGTTACAAATAATTGTGTTTTTAAAGTAAATTTTTCAAACACGAAACGTTCTTTAAAAGTAACTTTATTTATTTTAGCTTAGTTTAACATATTATCTAATGTAGCATGCTAGACCTTTTATTGAAACATATTCAGCACATTAAACTTTCCATCCCAATTGGAGATTTTTTAAGGCTTTACATAAGTCCTGAAACCTTGAAGTTAGTCTCATCGACTGACATTTGGATCTCTCACTAAATGCAATTTGAGACAATTTAATACTTCTTGTTCTAGTACAATAATTGCTTGTAATGTAGGTTAATACATAAGTCGATATAACATGTTTCCTTTTACATGAAGTAGCCGTAACTCCTGCTGGAGTTTTTTCATCTCTGAACTTCTATGTTTGAATTATAGGCTTTTAGTACATTATTTATATTACATTAATATTCTTAATTGGAACGACAGAATCTGTCTGGTTTAATATTTCATATCTTGTCATTCAAATTTGCAGTTCTTATACAACTTAAGAAACTAGTTTGAGTTCTCTCTAAACAAGGACAGTTCCAGAGCCCATTGGGAAACAGAATATACAAAATAAGGTTCATTTATTTATTATCACTTACCTTAACGAACTGGTTAAAGTGGAGTAATCTGTGCGTTAAAACTTTTGAAAGTGATAGATTTAGGTTTCTACTCATTTTTTATCCACTAGTACTTGGTATTGTCCTACTTATGACCTCTAAGATTAGATTATTTGTTCATCATGCAGCAAGCATACAAAATATGCTGTTTCATTTGGTAACTTTAATGACTTCTTGGTTTTCCAGTATACATTTTATGAATTGAAAGCATGACCTATTTTCTACGTGTATGAACATTTATCTTTGTAAGCTCTAAATTATCTGTCACAGTATGTGCAGATTCAAGGCCAACATTCTTTCATTGGGGATCTTTGTTATTGTCAAATGTTGGGGTTTTTAACAATTTTAAATCGAGATGTTCGTTGGCACCACCAGCAAAGCAATTAATATAGGAATGGTAGCTTTCAATTGATACAGAAGGAAAGGAAAGAGATTTACCTCGAATCCACAGATGCAATTTAGGAAAAGTTATGCAGTTCATGTAAATTGAGGCTAACAGAGAATCCATTCTAAAATAGGAGATCTATATTGTTACCATAATATGCTATGGTTAAGGTTAATATGATACCTTTTGTGATATTGTCACATACTAACTCCGTTAGTTTCTATTGGATTTTGACCTCAAAATAATAGAGAAATCAACACAAGTATTTAACGTGGTTCGGCGATGTGCCTACGTCCACAAGGAACGAAGCGGAGATTTCATTCAATATAAATAATAGGGTTATATCATTAGTATTTATACCAATCCAAGCCCAAGCCCAAGCCCATGCCCAAGACTTTAGGGCCGGTACAAGAAAATATACCTCTAGTGTACTCCCTGACAAACAAATGGTGAATTTACCCCACAAGGCCAATGCCGGAGCAGAACAAGAAAATACACCTCTACTGCACTCTCTGACAAACAAACTGTGAATTAAATCCACAAGGCCGATGCCGGGAGCGGAACAAGAAAACACATCTCTACTGTACTCCCTGACAAACAAAAAGTGAATTAAACCCACAAGACCAATGCCGTCGAGGAAAATACACTTCTACTGTACTCCCTGGCAAACAAACAGTGAATTAAACCCACAAGGTCGATGCCTCTACTGTACTCCATGACAAACAAAAAGTGAATTAAACCCACAAGACCAATGCCGTCGCGGCAAATACACATCTACTGTACTCCCTGACAAACAAACAGTGAATTAAACCCATAAGGCCGATGCCGTCGCGGTAATCCAGTAAACTTGTGTTCCACTCTATATGAGTCACATATACAATAGTTTCATATGAATTCCAAATTGAAATATCTAAAATCAACTATCAAACATAGTGTAATTTCTAGTTCAAATAGAAATGTCTAAAACCAGTATGATTAGAAATGTAATTATTCATTTTTTCCTTAATTTGGTAAGTTCATTCAATATCAAGTATTGACTAGTGTGTGGGTGATTGATAATCTTTTTTGAGCAAAGAAGATATTAATTTTGTTCGTTTCTCCTCAAGAAAATGGAATTACCACTGTTTATTATACATCGGATTCATTCTTGTTTGTCTATATGTTTATTTTATATGGTTTTCTTTCCTTGATTCAAGTGAGCCATCCAGTGACGTGACTGACTCACTTTTGTTTAAATTTCAAGGACACTCTTGTGCTTATCAAACCGGTTTTTATTAACTACATTCCCCAAATGTCTTGATGGAATATTGGAGATCCCTTAATTAGAAAATGATGTATTACTATGCTTGTTTTCATTATAATACAAATTTCCGAAGAATTTTTCTTTGACATCTTAGCTCATGACATCTCAATATCCTGTCTCCTATATTAAATTTTAGTGCTTTATCCTGGAACCTTCCTACTTCCTAGATGGATGCTTCTATTGATTTGAAGTAATCGCTTTGCCTCTGTGTTCGCAACTCCCGTGTACCTTCTGTACTAATATCCACTAAATATATCTTCCAAGATTGCTTTATTGAGAGTACTTGTTTTGATGGACCAGGTTATGGAGATATCATTGCTCAAATCGCTTCTCAACAGCATTTCTTGTTTTTTCCAATTATCATCTTGTGAGAATATTGAATTTGAACCAGTTCAGATGTACCATCAGAAGGTTGAGGAGATACTGAAGTTGCTAAAGGAAATCCTTGATGTCATTATTGATGCTGAAATTGCTTCAAATGAAATGCTTCAAAAACCATTTGCTGGTCTTCGTCAGTCTGTTGGTGAACTGAAAGAGATAATTGAAATCTGGCAACCATTGATGAGTAAAATCTACTTTGTATGTGATAAGATCAATAGTTTTACTTAAAAGTTTCTTTCTTATGCAACATAAGACGGTGAATGTTGGTAATGATGAAAAGATATTGGCAGATGATGGAGTTTCCATTAATGCTGTTTCCGAATAATTCTCTAGTATTAAGGGTGTGTTTGATGGATATTATTGAGGAAATAATGTATTTTAAATAGTGATATGATAGGAAATATGTGGTTAAAAAGTAAGAAAAAGTTATTGATGTGACGGAAAATATTATTTTATTGAAAAATGTGTGGTTGAAAATGAGTTTTGAAAGAATGTATTTTGAAAGAATGTGTGTCAAACAGGGGCTAAATCATTTTGGACAATAAAATAGACAATATCTTAGCTTTTTTTCTTTCTTAATACTGTCCAGACGTGGCCACCATACAAGACATGCGATAACTGTACTTGCAATGTATTGAAACCTAATGCTATTTTATTGATGCCTCATATATGCTAGTGAAAATAATTGTTGTTTGACTGATTTCTCCTTGATATCTAGGTTTTACAAGTTGAACCATTGATGAAAAATATCCAACTTTCTGGTTTGGAAATTCTCGAGTTGCTGAAATCTTTTAATAAATGTTTACCAGCTGAATTAAGTGCTACCATTCTTGAGGTAACAGCCAGTAATGTGTTATTTTATCCTTGCTCATTTCGTGTCTAAAATGTTTGATTTAGGCATCTATGATTGTACGATACATGAATTATCCTTTTTGATGTCCTATGTCCAATATTACAGCACTGTGTACAGAAAATTAAGCATATGGGATATGAACAAACAACAGCAACAATCACGATAGCTATAAAGGATCACGTTGAGGGCCCTGGAGCCAGCTCTGAAACCCTGGCAAAAGTTGCTGATAGCCTGAGCTTAAAATCAAACCAGGAACTTCTGATTGAGGCTGTGGCCCTTGAGAAATTGAAAGAAAATGCTGAACAAGCTGAAAAAGCTGACGAAGTTGAATATATCGATGAAATGATTGCTTTGGTTACCCACATGCATGAGCTCCTCGTTATCAATAAACAGTCGGACAGCTGTAATCCTGTTCCAATACCTGCTGATTTCTGTTGCCCTCTCTCACTTGAACTCATGACAGACCCTGTAATTGTTGCTTCTGGACAAACATACGAGCGAGCTTTTATACGGAAGTGGATTGATCTTGGGCTTACTGTTTGCCCAAAAACAAGGCAAACTTTGTCACACACTAATCTTATTCCTAATTACACTGTCAAGGCATTGATTGCAAATTGGTGTGAGTTGAATGATGTAAAGCTGCCCGACCCGATGAAGTCTATTAACTTGAACCAGGCTTCTCCATTTCTTGTGCATGTGGAGTCAGGTGGTGCCAGAAGAATCAATCATTCTCCCATACCAGATCCAACTCAGTCGTTGGGTTCTCCAATAAATACTTCAATCTCATCTAATGGAGTCCAAGGAGAGGGATTTTCTCCATCTCATCTTCATTCATCTTCAGAGGATTCGTTGCCAGGAGCTGATGTGAATGGGAACGAGTCGGACATTGATAGAATCTCTCTCAGAAGTTCTGATGACAGGTCGGACCACTCGGAAGAGAGAAGTTTGAACTCAGGTGGCCATCTCTCGACATCGCCATCTGGAAATAATGTTGCCGGTGCTGATGAATGGTCATCTCAGGGCCATAATCGTACTAATTCAGCCTCCAGCATGCATTCTAATTCTAATATTTCACAAGGGACGCCTGCTGATGGCAATCAGGTGTCATTGCAGGGTGTAGTCCACGGTAGAAATGCTTCTGAAGAGCTAAAGTCAGAGCCCCAGTCTGCTTCTACCTTGAATGCCCTGGAAAGGGATCCCGACATCCCATCTAGACTGGAGACAAGATCTCGTGTCCCAACAATCTGGCGGAGGCCATCAGAGAGGTTTATGCCAAGAATGGTTTCTTCTGCAGTTGAATCTAGGGCTGATCTTTCAGAAGTTGAGGCACGCGTTTCGAAGCTGGTTGAGGACCTGAATAGTACTTCCCTTGATGCACGGAGGACTGCAACATCTGAACTGCGGTTTCTTGCGAAGCATAACACAGATAATCGAATTGTAATTGCAGATTGTGGGGCTATCAGCTTGTTGGTCAATCTACTTCATTCAACTGATGCAGAAGTACAGGAAAATGCAGTTACGGCTCTTCTCAACTTATCAATCAATGATAACAACAAAGCTGCCATTGGAAATGCAAATGCAATAGAACCCTTGATTCATGTGCTCCAGACAGGGAGCCCTGAAGCTAAGTCAAATTCTGCTGCAACTCTTTTTAGCCTCTCAGTGATAGAAGAAAACAAAATCAAGATTGGCAGGTCTGGAGCAATTAAACCCCTAGTTGATTTATTGGGGAATGGAACTCCAAGGGGCAAGAAAGATGCAGCCACAGCTTTGTTTAACTTGTCAATATTTCATGAAAACAAGGCCCGTATTGTGCAGGCAGGTGCCGTAAAGTTCCTTATAGACCTGATGGATCCTGCCGCTGGAATGGTTGATAAGGCAGTTGCCGTTTTGTCTAATCTGGCTACTGTTCAAGAGGGTAGGACGGCAATTGGTCAGGAAGGAGGAATCCCGGTCCTGGTCGAGGTGGTTGAGCTCGGGTCAGCAAGAGGCAAGGAAAATGCTGCTGCTGCACTCCTGCAGTTATGTACTAATAGCAACAGATTTTGCAGTATGGTTCTCCAAGAAGGAGCTGTTCCTCCATTAGTCGCATTGTCGCAGTCGGGTACCCCAAGAGCTAGAGAAAAGGTGTAGTATTAATGACTTATTACTTTATTGGCACGTTTGGTAATAAGAATTGGCAAATACGGGAGAGTATTAAATGAGAAAATTTTCATAGTACTGTCCAGTATACCAAACACGTTCTTCTATACTTGACACTGAGTACTTAAAATCGTATTTTGCTCCTGCAGGCTCAGCAACTTCTTGGCTACTTTAGAAGCCAACGCCATAATAATGCTGGTAGGGGCTGATTTTGATATACTCTTTCTTTCGGGTGCTGCAACATATGTAAGGTATGTGCAGTGTTAAATCCAAAATGTTGCAAATAATGCTGAGTGGCTTTTTTTTTTCAACTTTGTGAAAAGGAAAGAAGCGTTGATTATGGAGGGTTTGATTTGAATCACTCTCAAATGACTTTGAATTTGTATGTGAAAAAGTGTTTGTATACCTTTAGGTTTCTCGTCTAGCATTTTGTTGCTGTGATTGGGAAAGACAGCAGCAAAGATTAATCATTTTCAACCACAGAAAAAAATAATATGATATATTTTTTTTTTTGGCCATTTTGCTGCACGCATTTTATCTCAATTATAATTTATATGTTTCCACTCCATTTGCACATACATTTTAGTTATACATTTTGGGTTCTTCTGAGATCTGATTCATAGAGATATTCGGGGAAAAGCGAGATTGTCTACTCCTTCAAAGGTTATTTTCGTCGTTAATCCTCGTGTAGATTGAAGGCATGATTTTACTTGTGATTAATTTAATTTAGTCAGTTGCGGGTTTAAACTAGAGGTGTAAAGGTAAGTTGGATCTGGGTTTGCTCCCCAATGGTCATCAGTTCGAGTCCTCTCAGGGTCATTGAGGTGAGTACCCGACCGTAAACTTCAGGGCCCCGTGGAATTAGTCGAGGTGCGCGCAAGCTGGCCTGGACATCCACTGTTATCAAAAAAAAAAAGTAAAGGTGAGTTGGATCGTCATTGCCTGATACCCATCCATTGTTTGATATTTATCAGTTAAAATGGTGTAATATGCAAATGGTCTAAAATATTGTCTGCTATATGATTATGAATCAAATATAAAGTTCTTTTATGCATCAATACATCTCCTACTGGCGGGTAACAGGTATCAAATGATTGAACGACATGCAGCAATTTACTTGTTATATTTAGTTGACATTCATAAAAAAAAAGTATATATTGAATTATGAGTTTAATAAAATCCTGTTTAGCAGAAATTTGGATATTTCTTGCTCATTGTAAGACAATTACTTATTCACAAACTTTGTACATAATTAGCAATATCAAAACCCAACGTGTAAATATCATTTTACTTGTGCAATTTATGACCACCTAATATTATAACAATGAATTTGAGTTGTCGAAGGACTGTTTGACAGTATCTTGGTGACAACTACATGAATTTTCAAGATTTCTAGATTCTCGAAAAGTATTGATACTGTGAATGAATGTATCAATACTTTGTTAGAAGTAGAATGCGCTTTGGTGGGATCTTCACTTGATCAATGGTGGAACAATATCTCCCTTATTGTTCAATGTTCTTCGATAGATGGTCAGAAAATGGTGGAACAATATCTCCCTTTTTTTTCAATGTTCTTCGATAGATGGTCAGAATTTCATCAGGTTCGAATCTTGTACTTCAACTCACTCGACCTATGCATTTTCTGATTCATGGAAATTTTTCTGTAAATTTCACAAGAACAATCCCCTATTATAGGGTATATGTGTCGGACCAACAAACTGACGTGGCGAGGCTGGATTGTTCGACTTGTCTTGCTTTTTCTCTACTAAGTTCATTGTATTTTTCAATTATTCATCTTACTTTTTTCTATCATTTGTAACAAGTTCCAGTCTTCAGTCATTTCCATTTAAGAATTCAGTTGTCCTTTTTTATATTATCTTAAATTATTTATATTTTAAGCCCACCTACATGTATAAAAATGAGACTTCATGCTCAATTAAAATACATATAGTAACATAGTCCGTCAAGAACTCAATTCTTTCTGAAATTCTAATCAAGTATAATATTTGCATTCTCAAAAACAAAAGCAAAGAAGTTTGATAGATTTGCATAGAATTTCAATAATGAACCGAAGCATATTCTTTGTTATGTTTCTTTTTTCTTTATCGGTAAATGTAAATGTGTATTGATCAAAATGTTTGCACTAGTACTTCTAGCATACCCGGGCTTACAAGATCAAATGATGTACAGACGATAAAAATCTAAAAACCCAACGCTAAAGAAATTTTTTTGTAATGTTCTTATTTGCATGTTTATATGTTTCAATGACGGATTTCGGTCACTTACTCAATTTATTTGGCATTCCATGAAGCTTGAAAACTAGAAAGAGTAAGCTACATCTTTATCTGTATAAAGATGTCCCAAAGCTGTAAAATGGGCACCAAACCAGAGTCATGTGCGACTGCTTCCGTTGATATTGTGATGCAAAAATCCTTTCAGATGGTCTTGAAGTCACTAGACTCAACCAAACTATAAAGAATTTTAATTTATTTAGTTTTAAGGATGAACTTT